CTGCCTCCCCCACCCAGCTGTGCTCCCACCCACATGCATTATCTCCACCCCTAAAGTGCTTCTCTTTCAATCTGCTCACCTCCTTTTTGGCAGTGCTGTTGAATTTCTTGACTAAGAGACCTTTTGGAGGTTGTAAAGACTGCGTCAACCCCCTGCACCCAACTTAACAGTTGCTGTCACTTGCTTGGCTACATACTAACTTGCTGTAGGAGGGTAATTAGTCAGAGTGATTTCCTGCCCCCTCCCACTTCCTTTCTCTGGCATCTGCTTAGCACAGCGTTGCATAGATGTCATGGAAATCTTATCAGCCGTGCTGTTTGCCATTTGTCTCGTCGCTGTTCGACACGCGAATGCGCACGAACCAGATGCGATAGTGAATATATAGTTTGCATATACTTAGGATGAGGCAGGTAAGCTTCGTGTCTCAGAAGCCCCACTGCTTTCTACAGTCACCATCATGCTGAGTGTTTAGCTGTTTTTTTTTATTTAAAGATATTGAGCAACATAGTCATATAATTAAGGCTTTTAAAGTGAAATGCTATTAGAGAGTAATTAGTAAAACTTTTTTTAAAAAACAGAATACAATCATTGATTTGACATCTGTAATAATCTATCAAGATACGGTCTCAGGGATGTTTTTTGAATGCAGGCCTCCATGCTACCCTTCAGCACAGAGTAAATATATGCAATTAGAAAATAAATGAATATAAACAAACAGAGTCACATTTCTGTTATCCACTAATAAATGATTGTTTACACATTCTGCATGGCTGGCCATGCTTAAAATGGAAAAAGGTCCAGCCTGAAACACTGAAATAAGTTTCATGGCTCATTAAATTCCAGCTGTAAGCTACAGAGTAAACGGATTTGTCAGAGAATGCAGTTGTTTGGGGACAAAAAGACTGTCAAGGTTGTTGATATACTGAGCAAGCAGCACGCAGATGCCTGCATAATCATCAAACAAACAAAAAATGGATTGATGTGAATTTTTACGTTTGATTTCAAATAGCACATAAAGAGACAGAGTAGGATTAAAATGATTAAAAAAATCATAGTTTTCATGGTACAGTAAGAAGCACAGGTCTGCAGATATTTGACTGTGACTTTTCTGCTTCCACTTCATAAAATATTAAATAGATTTTAAAAGCCTTTATGAAATATTTAATGAAATAATATTCTGTGCCTATTTTAAAAAGGAATTCAACTCATTATCATATTACAAACTGTTATATTTAAACATTTTATTTGATGTTTTTGAACTTTCAATTTAGTATTTTTTGTGATAACAAACAAACACAATGTTAACATTCTCTGATAAAGGACCACAGAAGAGAGACAAACAGACCAAGATCAATAAAATAAAATATCATGAGGGGAGTTTATAACCTTATAGTGCAACATTCAGGATTCTTGTTCATTCACCAGGTTTCTGGTCACACAGTTTCATCTCTGGTGGACGCTCACTGTCATTCACTCCGTTGTGTGAACTCTTTTCAGTCTCTGTTTCCGTTGTGTTATGAATGGTGGGCTTGGTTGTTTCCATTTCACAGTTATCATTTTCTTAGCTATCAATAGGAGTATCTGTAGATTCTTTTTTTTGTCTGGGCTATATGCCTCTCTAGGTATAACTCCTAAAAGAAATAAGGTTGAATTTAATGGAGGATTAACTTGTAGGATTTTCTGTTTCTTCTTTGGTTCTTTTCCAGAATCCTCAAATTATTGGACAATCCCCACAAATATGTGAATAATCTGCTGTTTCCCCACATTTTCTCCAAGGGCATAGTTCTTCATTAGGTATATAAGATACCTTGTGACAGCTTTTGCTTCCCATATATTATCAGTGATTATAGCATTTAATTCTAATTACCAGTTCTCCTTAATATAAACCGTATTTTGGCACGACTCATTTATTTTGTAAATATGAGAAACATGTTTCTTAGTTGGGAGATGTTTTTCCATAATATTAATATTTAAGCATTTTATATCCAGTTATCCTACATAATACATTACATTATACATAATTCTAAAGAATATAGATTTAAAAGACTGTATTACAAAAAAAGCATGTCTAATACAAATTGCGCCCTAAACGTGAGCACCTCCTTGATGAGTTATGCAGTCCCACCGTTTTCCATCACTTCCCTCGTCTCAAACTCATCATCTGCAGCAACATTACTGTCATGAAAAAGCTTATAACATAAAAACATCATTGTGAAATATGAAACTGAATATGAAAAAAACAAAAATCAAATTAAAAACAGTCAAATTAATTATGAAATAGCATTTGGCCAAAACAATTAGAACTTTAATAACTTCCTTTTGCAAATAGATTCTTGGTTGACACAGCGGTATGGTACAATAAAATCTCATTATTGATGTTTGTGGTAGCATGTGTGTGCGCGCCTGTCATCTTTCTGTCTGTAAACTAGTGATGTGTCGGTCGTGAACGAAACGGCCCTCAGAGCCGGGTCTTTGAGGTGAACGACGCGATCCGACTCCTTATTTGGCGCCATAGGGTTTTTTTTCTCTCTCTCTCTCTCTCGCACTTTTTTCCCGCTTCACTCTGCGTGCGAGGCTTGTGCTTTGCGCTGAGCAGAGGGGGGAGGGGCGGAAGTTACAGTCAGTAGCACAGGAACAGAGCGGGAGGGAGAGAGAGAGAGAGAGCCAGGGACAACAACGTCACATTAGAAAGGTATAGTAATCATCCACAACTATTTTCAGGTGCAGATGATAAAGGATTCAGAAAGTTTATTCATGCAGGTCCATATGACAGAGAATGTGCATCTTCTTTTTGTTTTCATATTTTAATTTATATTTTATTGTGTTGTGGTTTGCAGTGTTTTGTGTTGTTTCACTTTAAATTTGTTTAAAAGGAAAAAGCTGAACATTTAAATAGTTAAAAGTTGAAATGTAAATAGTTGGTTTTTGTATTATAATATTTTATTTATTACATTTTATGTGGAGTGAATAAATAAAAGTATATTTACGGTGGCCCCTACAGACAAAGCACGTACAAACCCCGAAGCACGTACAAAACACAACAGAAGTGCTCCAGGATGCTAGGGGGCAGTGTTGAGCTTTAGTGGCTACATAAGTGTGATGTGTGGTAGCAACAGGTAAATGAACTTTTTTTTTTAATTATTTGAATATATATGAGTGCTGGTGTATAAATACACAAACAATACACATGTGCTTTCAATTAATTTAAGTGATCTAGGTAGCTCTGTTTTGGAGTTTGTACGTGTTTTGTCTCTAGGAGCCACCACATATATTTCTATATAAACATAAAGGTTTTGAACGTATTCTGCTGGTAAAGACCGCCCACATGGCGAGTGGGGATTTGTAAAGAAAAATACAAACACACACTGATACCACTGTTATTATTACTGCTGTTATTCCTGAAGAACAGATCATTAACTTTATGAACAAAATCTAGAATATCAGTGTGCCGAGATCACAAATTCAGTGTAATACGTTGTATCTTGAAGACAGATAATTAGTCAGTTAGTCTTTCAGTAATTCCATAATTGCTTGAAGAACACAACTTGAATAAGCTGAAGTCTCTCAGTTCTCAGTGGATGTGAGTCTGGAATGAACGGAGACACTCGGGGACTCCTTTGTGGACATCTGGATGCATTACACACAGATTTTCACATGTATTCTCTGCTTACTGTGTAAACGATAAAATCTCAGCTTCCAGCGATTTACCCACCAGTGAATAACGTCTGTATGGAGACCACCCACTACGCTTTGGCTCCTCATATCTCATATGTCGCTGCAATTTGCAGGCTTGTTACAGCGAGGCACATTTCTGTAGCGTATGAAAAGCTGCACCCTACACATTTCATTCTTATCGTGTTTTTCATTGTGTTAATGGCTTCATGGCAAAATATTCTCTGTAAGAGTTCTCTAGTAACGCACAGCCGTGTGGGAAGACAGACAGTGATTACACTGCTAGATGTTTTTAAGCCATGTTATTCATTTGCAGTGTTTGAATATTATGTAAATTTTAATCTAATTTAGTACCTTCGACTCGAGCCAAATATGTGTGTGAGATATTGTGAGAAAGCTCGTCTCCCACTCCTCGTTATGCTGCTGCTTTTAAATTGACGAATAAATCAAGGTGTGAAAACAAACCCACAGTAAAGAGTAAACACAGCTCGTGATCTGAAAAAGGCCAGTGTTATATAAAACGGTCAATTTCAGCAAGTGTTAAGATGCATGTGACAAAATACTCATGTCTGGTTGTCTTTCTGCAGCTCTACAGCTCGGTGGAGTTTGGACGGAGGTGGCAGCTGGTGCACGAGCGAGTGGCTCCCAATCGTTTCTACTGGTACGTACGTATAGTGAAGGATAGTTCCTAAATCAGCCATGATGCAGAACGGTTTTTGTTCTTTACAAATTACAGCATTGGCTTGCACAACGCATCCAACCGAGCCCGAATATTTCTTTATTTATAGTGTTTGTAAATTTTTAAAAATATATTATTTTTCTCAAACCAGCCAGCTGATAACATTTTTCGTATTCTAGGAGAAAAACATGCAGCTCATCCATATATAGCAATTGTTTAATGTCTGTGAAATTGTGACAATCCTTCTCTCCCCCACCAACCATATAATTGCTGTCCAACTGTGCTCAAGCATGTTGCCTGCCCTCTGTGTTACGGTGACACACCATCATCTGAAAAGGAACGTCTTTTGCAGTCCTATTGCACTACATGACTCCTGTAGAATCAGCTGTAGCTGGAATAACTTGTAGTGTTCATTTTCTGTGTGACTTTAAGTCTCTCACATCATTGTGGAGGAATTTGTTCCCTCTCTTCTGCTTCAGTTCATTGACGTTTGCAGGCATTTCTTTATGCACAGCTCTCACCACAGTCAGATTAAGGTCTGTCAATTTAACTCTTGCATAATCGTTTTCAGTCAAGCTTTATTTTTCTCACATTTGACTCAGGGATACTTTAGTATGAGGAGTTCTTGACTGACTTAATAATTGCAAGCTGCCCAATGTCCTGTGGCTGCAAAACAAGCCCAAATCATCAGCCCTCCTCCGTTGTGCTGACAGTTGGTTTGAAGTGTTTGTGCTGATATGCTGTGTTTGATTTTCACCAAATATGGCGCCGTGCATTTCAGCCAAACGTCTCCACTTTGGTCTTGTCTGAAGATTTGTGGTTTGCCCACAGGCAGTTTTGCATGTCTGAGCAGAGTCAGAGATGTAGTTTTTGTGAATTTGTTGGGATGCATACAACCTTAAAAAAAACGTTTTCACATGACTGTACATGATTTAAAGGTTTTTTTTGGTTTTTTTTTAATCGTCACGTGAGAAAAAGTCAACTTTCAAGTAACGTAGTCGAGGCATTTTGAGAAAAAATAGAATTAATCCAAAGCTACAATAGTCCTTGAGGCCTTGTGATGTGGTGCTATATAAACAGTGTTGGGTAAGTTAATTAGTAACTTAGTTACATTGCTAGTTACTTCTATCAAAAGTAACTCAGTTACTCGTTACTTTCAAAGTAACTAGTTACTAGGGAAAGTAACTTTGGTTTTACTCAGAATGCTCTTATTAATGTGTTGCTTCCCTGACTGAATGTGCATAATTCCACGAGAGAAATCCCACGCCTGGACCGTCGTCGACTGCTGCCAGGATTCTAGCCTACGTCACAGTGTCACGTGCGCTTTTTATGTCCAACACAGAAACTGCAGTCGTGGTGCTTTCAATTGTACTTGGATCTCGGAAATTCTGCCTTCCAAGTAGGAAGATGTAGGTAACTCCAGACTTCAGATAAGCTGCATATGTGTTTACCAGTCATTTGTTTTTGTAGAGGGCTAGCAAAACAACCGTTTTCGAGGGCGTCGCCATATTGGAATCCAGCATTCTCTGATGAGGTTAACCAGAACGCCGTTTACTCGAGTGTGACATTATTCCCAGGTCCGTGTTCCGATTTCTGAAATAAGTCGAACACAACACATGAAGTAACGAATAACGAGCCTATCTAAATCCCAGTAACGATAAACGTGTTCCTGATTTTGGCATAATAACTATTTACCTTCTTGTTACCACAATAATAACGTAGTTAATGTTACTTAATATGAGCCAGAGAGGTTTTTAAGATTTCCTTTATTCATGTGTCTGACGTGCCTGATCGTCGAGTTCAGTCATGAAGAAAAAGGCTTCAGAACCAGTTTGGAGGGAATCTGAAAGTTTTCTCGTCCACTGAGATGAAATCAACTGAAATAATCGACTAATTTCTTTCAGCGGGCCTTAACCAGCAACACAAGTTGTCATCTTAACGTTGCTGCATTGCTTCATCTTCTCATAATTGTTACAATGTTCCCTGGCCTTCCCTCGCTGCCTCACTGCCACCGCCCCACAGTTGCTGTCCAACTCGGTGTTATCTAGCACGTCTGCCCTCTGTGCTGTAACTAACACGTAACAAAAAGCTTTCACCTCGACTAACTGCAGAGGAACCGTCGGGTAGTAACGAGCTGGGCAGCCAGGAGTGAAGGGAGCCTGAAGGGCTGATGCTGCAGAAGCTGTCAGAGTTCTATTTTGGGACGCTCGCTGTGCAGTAGGTGTGGTGGTAGTCGTGGTAATGAGGCTGCAGAGCGAGCTTATATCTGTAATATACATAGCCACCAAGAGTGTAATCTCATTTCGTGTTTTGGTAAACCTGAGCAGCACTTGGCCACACGCCGTTCTAACTTTGGCCACATTTAATAAGTTTGTGAGCTTACCGTGTGCAATTTGCCTGTGACATTACAAATGTGAAAAGCGTGCAGAGCTGCCTGTATGCGATATACTTTTGCAAGGCGACGGCTGCATCTCGTTTTTATGCATGCCTGTTCTGAGTCGCTTCAGAGGCCACACAGCTGTTCAGACGAGTGTCATACACACAGACGCCCCGCTGTAGGTGTGCCATCACTGAAAATACACAAGTTTAAACAAACCGTCCACTTCTTCTGTGCCCGTCTCACACTGCTCCTGGGTACCTGAATGGATTATTCAGTGAAAATGGAAATGTGGCTCAGATAACTAGGCCATGCTATTCACAGCTGCGTTTCATCTGGGAAATTACCAATACTACCAATAAGTATAATAATGATTAAACGATATAGTGGTCTCTGCCTCTCATTGTGTCTGCTTCACACAGACTCCCCTTTATTTCCCTCCTCGTTTGTGTGTGCGCTCTACCTGTCGACACAGCCTCTTTCCCAGCTTCTCTCCCCCGTCTCGCCCCACCTCCCCCGTTCTCTCCCCTCTGTGTGTGCTGCCTTTGCTTCTCCTCTGATCCCCCAGTCTTTTTAATACATATTTAATGCCGTAATGATTATATGCTATTCCATCTGCGGGCATCCCTACTGTAGTGCAAAAAATCAATGGCTTTTCCTCTCCTAATGATGCCAGGAAACATCTTCCTCCATTTTTCTGGGCGAAAAAGGACCTTGTGGGGACGCTGAACATTTAGATCGCACAGTAAACCCGAGGCCCTCTTTTTCCCTTTACAAGTTAAGCTGCCTTTCACAGTGAAGACAAAGACAAGTTAATTTCAGCAGCCAGCTCCTGCTGATGTTAAGCACGACTGTCATAGTGCTTGACTTAACCTATCCGTCGTCATAAATTTGTCTGACTTTGCAACATGCAATCTCTCGTGTTAGACAGCAGCTGCCATAGGTGACATCTGCCCGAAGGCAAAAGACCAATAGTGATGTTCCTGAAACACATTTGTCTGCCTTTCAGGTCGAAAATGGGTTTGGACAAAGAGCCGGGCTTAATTCACCTGGAAACCAGCATCACTGAAGGACGTGAGTAATTGAATTCCGAGTCCGGTGCTCCATTTTCCGCCGTCTTTGTACTGTATCGTGAACATTGTGCTAAAGTAGAGAAGAATTGGGAGTTGTGTGGACAATTCCATTGAAGGGTAATACGAAGGGACAGCGGAAATGGCCGAGTCGGGGGACACACAATGACAACGGACGGAAAAGTAATGCATATATTAGAATGCTTTTAAAAGCAAGTGATTTAGCTCAGGGGGGCTCTTTTAAGTAGAAAGAAACACTCTTCGTCCTGAATGACAATGAACACTGGGATATTGGGGGTTCATTTTCACTTTTCTGGGAGCGACTCCTTGTTCTTATATTTTTAATATTTTTCCCTAAATTTTGGCAATTTTCAGCAGCAACCCAAAATGCCAATAAAAATAAATATAGAAAAGGATTGAATTAAATGCAAAGAGCACAAATTACTGATAAACAAAAGTATAGACAGAAACTTACAGCATCTACTCTTTTAAACAGCACGTTCTAAAACAAAAGTACATTTGAATAGTTTTAAAACCCCTGCAGATATAATCTATGTACATAAGATTTTAGGGCTCAGTGCTGAACCCCAAAGGTAACTCAGTAAATCAGATATGACTTGATTTATTTTTTATCTGTTGTTGAGATAACTATCATTGTGATAGCTTTCTGAAAAATTTCTTGCTATTTTTTTCCACAGAGGACGATCTGTGGTTGGTATTAATAAATCACCACTCCCACAGACTCCTCCCTTCTTTCTCAAAATTGCATCACTGCCATCGACGCGGATCTATTTGAGTTTAAACCAAACAAACAAAAAAGTACAAATAAAAAACAACTTTTTTGAAAGTGAGATAGATTGGCCTTTTATTTCCTACTCTTATAAACTGAAACAACGTTTGTTCTTTTCCTGTTTCGTGTAAAAATACGTGTTTGGGTGGACTGTCATTGGTTTTTCATTTTCAGTCCAAAGTGGAAAAATGGGGGAAAAGTTTGTACAAAAACTAGTAAGAGCCTGTTCTTATTCCACAATCTGTCAGACAAACTGATGCTTATTTATTTGCTGGAGCTATTTTTCTTTAATCTTTTTTCTGCAAGAAAAATATTTCACGGATAAAATCCAGTTTTAACCTCCTAAGACCCGAACTCTTCCACAGCAGCATTTTTAATTTCTCTTTGATATTTGGGCTGATTGGGACCTGATAAAAGTAAAAACAAAGAATTGGCAGATTTTTTTTTTTTTTACCCAATCTTTGTTTCTAAGAAAAATGAGAGCCATATATGAGGATATTCATATAAAACTTCGATAGAACAGTGGCAGTATAATGTCCTCGTAAGTGGATATCAGGCCCTTGTAGAGCAAAATTGAGTATTTTGGTCTAAATAACCCAAAATGTGATGTCCACATATGTGGACGACAGGTCCTAGGAGGTTAAAGAAGTTAAAAAACACGATCTAGCTTTATTGGTGTTACTAAGAACTTAAAGTCAGGATATATCGGCCTTTGCCACTTCAGTTTTAACCACGTTTCAGTCTCTCTTTAACACTTAAATGATTGTAGTTAGTTTTTTCAATCTCACAGAGTTTGTATGGCACCTCTCTGAGGCCAATACAGTAAGGGAAAGCCAATCATCCAAACATGCATAGCAGACATCAATCGTGTCAGATGTTACAGTCGCACAGCCAGAGACTATCACTATTGATCATGCGCGCATGGGGGGAGCCGGCACATATTTGGCAGAGGCTAACGTGTGGGGACAGGCTCTTTCCCAGCGCTGCGATTGAAGGCAAAGAAAGCAATTGGCTTCTGTGGTCATCTGTCTTCCCCTCCACCCAGCTCCTCCCTTACTGGGACCACTTTATTGACACGAGTAATGTAGGGGCCAAAAGAGGCTGCTTGGCTCTGGGTGAAGGCTGCCTTTCTTCATTGGCTAATACCATTGCTGATGCCAGGGCTTGACGTGTGTGTGTGTGTGTGTGTGTGTGTGTGTGTGTGTGTGTATGTGTGTGTGTGTGTGTGTGTGTGTGTGTGTGTCGGAGCAGAGGCGCTGTATGTCACCTGCAAGCTGCAGAACTGCACCGACGCCAATAAGGGCAAACCATTCCCCGGCTACATTGACCCCAATTCTCTGGTGGTGCAAGATGAGTATGTGTTTGTCCAGGTAGGTAATTGTCCAGTTTGCTCAGTAAGAAATATTACAGAAAAGTGTGTGGAGGAGAAAAGATGTTGGGTTTTCTGGGGAATTTGTCAAGGTCATTCTTACAGAGAGATGCTATTAGTTGAGCTATACGTGTGAAAATCCTTTATCTGCTTTATTAATGTCTACAAACTTTTTTGGCTCACCTTAAGGTGTCAACTGGGGGGAGGCCAATCTACTACGTGTCAGCTAAAAGAGATGTCTTCACCCCTATGAAGCTGCCCAAGTATACGCTGCCCAAGGTAAGAAATATACCTCGTTGGCTTCTTTCTTTTTTCTCATTTCTAAAGGGGAAAAAAATAGGCTTTAAACTTTGTTCAATATGAAGGCGAAACTTTCAATAACGCTCCAGATCGTGCCGGCTCCGTGTGGTGCCCTCTCTGTTATTTATGGGCGAATCAAGGGCAAAAGTAGCTCTCGCAGTGTTTCCAGAATTGTTATTCCATGCTGCTCCATGTGCGCGTGGCCTCGCTTGTCACGTCCCCGTTGACAATTAAACATGTTTTATTCAATCAAGCTCTGGGCGCCCAAGTTGCTGCCAGCTCACTGCAAGGTGTTGCTGGCACAGTCAGAGGTAGATGAAGCACACAACTAAACAGCATGGCCTCAGCTGCATAACTCTGCCCAATAAGCCCGATGTAGTCTTAATGATTGCTGTATCCTCTTAGTGGAAATACATGAATACTAAACGTGAAGCGATTCTGATTAATGAATATGATTAAGCCCAGCAGGAGGGTAAGAACAATATGTATACACTAAAAAATTACATTTCTATTAGCATAGAAGAGATCATGTTGCCTAAAAAAAACAAATTAAAGCCTTTAAAAATTTCCATTACAAATGACAGTAAATGGATGTTCTTTTAAAGTGTAATTTCAAGCTGATGATGATATTAAGAGCACGCATAAAGAGGGGATGTTGACTTTTATTGGATAAAAGCAATGAACAAAAATATCAATATGCAAAATGCACAGAGGAGTCGGGAGCACACTGAACAGAGCTAACTGTTTGTTGTCTCTGTCAAGATATTAACAAACATTTAAACTGCTTTTTAAAGAGAGGGAGTTTTAATCATTATGATGTTACTATTAAAGATTGTACTTTGCTATTAAAACAACCATTTGTAAGTCTGTGTGCATTACTATAAGATCATGGCTGTTTCCCATTGTAGTTATATAGTAGAACTGACACAGGGCAATGTGGTACTGCGCCAACAAATTCACCAAATTCACACATTGCTTATAACACCACATAAATAAAGGTGTCGCGGATGAATACAACAAAATAAAATGAGACAAAAACTTTGGTATTTTCTTAATATAATAATAAACCCGAAATTACTGTGTAATTGTGTAACTTTATTAGCAGCATCCTCCTGAAAATGCGCCAACAACATTAAGAGTAACATCCTCCTCTCTGCTCCTTAATGCTTTCTGGTCACTATGGTAACTCGGAGATATTTCTTGCAAAATAAGACGGCGAGTTAACGATACAAACCCTGAAAACCATAAATTTCACAGCCGAGCGTGAACTCAACGACTCGTGGACGGGTACCGGGGACCGCTGCATTACATGGGCAAAAGTCCTGAGCTCTACCTTTTAATCTTTGAATCCAGGTCTGTGCGTTCCCATTGCTACAGGTGTATAAAGTCCAGCATTGACCCATGCAGTCTTCATGCATCGTTCTAAAGATCTCACTGAATTTCAGTGTGAGACTGTAATGGGATGAAATTGTTGCCACAGGTCGGTTTGTGACATTTCTTCGCTTGTAGATTTCCCGCCATCAGCTGTAGGTGCTATTGCTGCAAAGTGCAGCTGTTTGGGAACTACAGCAACTCATCCATGAAGTGCCAGACCTTGTAGGTTATAGAGCAGACTCTGTGTGCTGAGCAGTGCTGGTCAAGTTACTTGAAAAAAGTCATTAGTAACGAATTACTGATTACTTCTCCAAAAACGTAATCCTGATTACTTATTTTCAAAAGTACTTAGTTACTTGACACACAGCCTGAATACGTAATAAAACAACAGACCTTTCAGCCCAGTTCTTTTTTTTCTGCATCCATTATATAAAATGTAATCAAATGAAAAAGTCTCTTTTTAAAACTTGTTTTATTAGTTTTAATCTTTTAACTTTATGCACCTTGCATCAAGCAAAAATTAAATTATATGTAACTGTCTGTGGTTTGAAGAAATTTATTTGCTATTTAAACCTATTTCCTGCATGATCCATCATATAAAATAAAATCATGTTTTGTGTTTGCACTCACTCTTTCAAATAGATGCAAGTAAAACAGCAGAAAATGAGTAAAATCAAAGATTCAGCAGCACTGAGTCCTGTCGCTCTTAAATCTATTGTCCCCCGTTTAGCAGGAGTGGGGCGGGTGGAGGTTTGCCAACAGTGGTCATGTCAGCGGGGGGATCCGGGGGTTTCTCTGGGAATGTCACATTCCCGTGGCAGCTCGCTCAGATATGAAGTTTCATTTTTCACGGTAGAAAGAAGTTTTCTTCCCACACAGAGTGAACAGCTGATGCTAATGTTTTTGTCCCTTTTTAGGGAGTCAGTACTTCCACGCTTTAAACGCTGCATGGTCGTACTCTCTCCTGTACTCCGTATTATCCATCGTTGATCTGCACACGTCTGTTACCATGAACGCTTACGTCACTGTCATGAGACACTCTCACAAGCAAATCACGGTTTAGTAATGCTTACAGGAAAGCAACAGTAATCTAATTACTTTTTTTGCAAAGTAATACCTTACTTTACTCGTTACTTTTAAAAAGTAATCAGATTACAGGAATGCATTACTTGTAACGAAGTTGCAAACGCTCAGTGACTGCAGCGATCCAAACCTCATCTGGTATTTATATCGGCACAAAAACAGTGTGCCAGCAGCTTCATGCATGGGTTCCCATGTCTGAGGTGTAATGTGTTTCGTCCACATGGTGTATATGTCAATTTGTTATTATTGTCAAGACTTTTTATTGTATGATACAGAACAGCACAAACATAAGTTGTAAAGATAAAAACGCTGGGGTAACAAGGGTCTGTGATATCATTTTACTCCTACCAGGATCTGCATGTGATCAGTACGGATGAAAACCGTGTCGTCGCGGCTGTGAGGGAGTGGAACCAGAATGAAACCTACAACCTGTATGTGTCAGACACTTCGGGGGTCTACTACACTCTGGCTCTGGAGAACGTGGTCAGCAGCATGGGCCTCGAGGGAAACGTCATGGTCGACCTCTACGAGGTAAAAAAACCATTCAATTTCAATTCAATTCAATTTTATTTATACAGCGCCAAATCACAACATCAGTCACCTCAAGGCGCTTCATATTGTACAGTAGATCATACAACAATAGATACAGAGAAAAACCCAACAATCATATGACCCCCTATGAGCAATCACTTTGGTGACAGTGGGAAGGAAAAACTCCCTTTTAACAGGAAGAAACCTCCGACAGAACCAGGCTCAGGGAGGGGCGGGGCCATCTGCTGTGATTGGTTGGGGTGAGAGAAGGAAGACAGGATAAAGACATGCTGTGGAAGAGAGACAGAGATTAATAACAAGTATGATTCATGCAGAGAGGTCTGTTAATACATAGTGAGTGAGAAAGGTGACTGGAAAGGAAAAACTCAATGCATCATGGGAATCCCCGGCAGCCTACGTCTATTGCAGCATAACTAAGGGAGGATTCAGGGTCACCTGGTCCAGCCCTAACTATATGCTTTAGCAAAAAGGAAAGTTTTAAGCCTAATCTTGAAAGTAGAGATAGTGTCTGTCTCCCGAATCCAAACCTGGTTCCACAGAAGAGGGGCCTGAAAACTGAAGGCTCTGCCTCCCATTCTACTTTTAAATACTCTAGGAACAACAAGTAGGCCTGCAGAGCGAGAGCAAAGTGCTCTAGTAGGGTGATATGGTACTACAAGGTCATTAAGATAAGATGGGGCCTGATTATTTAAGACCTTGTATGTGAGGAGCACTGAGGAGGACCACTGATGCTGTATCCACAGGAAAATAAACTCTGTGTCTGAAGCAGGAACGTCGCACAAATGCAGAAACCTCAGCTTTAGTTTTGGAGCCTGCAGTATTCATTTTAGACAATTCTCTGTTTTTAAACAGGAGGCCTGCTCGATGAGCATGCGTCCTGCAGGTTTATTACGAATGCTGATCAATACTTTGGAGCTAGCAGGCAGACGTGATGAAATGTACTTGCTTTGTCATTTTGCAAAGGAACCCTGCTGCTGTAGGCCTACAATCTTCAGAGCACGTTGTGTGAATATGAAACAGCTTCAAAGTGCTGACATCAACAAAGGCAAAGGGGCATTGTGCCAGCCATATAGATTTTTAGGAGCCTGAGATTATTTCTTCCTTTGATTAATAACTGCAGATCACTTTGCACAACACACCAAATCCAAAAACAGAAGGTGTGCTATGAGCTGGTGTTGAGGCTCTGTGGAACTCACGATGCTTTTAAGTTTAACGTAGAATAGAACTATATCTGTGAATCTAATAATTAAGCCCTTGGTGATGCCGCTCATGTCTGCTGTGGCCCGAGCAATAGAATCGAATCTACTGTCTTGATTGGGGTCGCCACCCGAAACATATGATGTGCTAAATCTCTCCTTCAAGCGAGATTGAAGTATCTGTCAATTACTAAAGTGGAGTTTCATTGCCTGATGCCACTGTCACAGACTCAATTCAGTATCCCTGAGTCGTCCTGCAGGTCTCCAACAGGGAGTCAGATTCATTTAAGACACACATCGATTATTCACAAGTCTCCAGACAGTCGATCATTTCCCACTTAGGGTTTGTGACTGTGTTTGGTTTTTGTTGGGAATGCAGAAGTAAGCTGCGTTTCCTTGAAGTGTCTGATTTGCTTTTGCAATGCGTTGCGATCGTTTTCGGCAACGTGACTTGAAAATAGGAAAGTAATCATATTTATTGGTCAAATAAAGTAAAATTTCACATAAAGCCGTGAACCGTTCTGATTCTGCAGGTAGCGGGAATAAAAGGAATGTTCCTCGCCAACAAAAGGACGGACAACCAAGTGAAGACGTACATCACCTACAACAGAGGCAGAGACTGGAGGTTACTGCAGGCGCCGAGCAAAGACCTGAGAGGCAACAGCATTCACTGTGTGCTGGTGAGTTTCTTTGCATCTGCCAGCGAGATGCGTTCATACATGTTTTTATATGTGTGCGCTTCCATCAAAGAGAGGCCTTGACAGGAGTTGACTGATCCCAGCAGCAACGAGAGCCCAAGCTCAGAAAGAGCAGCACTCGTCAAAGCTGAGTGCTCTGAGGCTGCTCAGCTGAAAGGTCAGCCATTTTGATTCAGTCCAATAAGCTGACCTCCCATTTAAAGAAACACAGAGAGAAAGACTTGTCAGACAGAAAGGCTTTTCTGTATTTTATCTGCCTTCCTTTCTGAGAGCCTCTAGAAAGTTGGAGGCTTCTCATACTCTAGTGGAGTTTTCACTCACTAGTAAAGTTCAGAATTACAAGTAAACAACCTACCCTTGAAAATGGAAACCGCTTATTTCTTGTAGCACATTTTTCTTTTCAATACCTTACCTCTTTGTGTATTTCTCTGTTAAATGAAATGTTGCAAAACCAGTGACTCAAAGAGAAAAGCTAGGTAAAGAAAGCACAAAAGTCCTGAGCATTTGTAGAGTTATGTCAATACTCCAGCAACCTTAGACGCTAGAACCACTTCTGCAAGAATCATAGCAAAGCAAGACATTTATACAGAGGCCAAGGATGAAGTCAGTCAGTGGATGGAGTACAGATTGTGTATTCGGTTTTTAAATGATGACATATGAACCCTGCTTTCGGGTCCAAACTACTCTTTGTTTTTAACATGTTTTAATGCTTTGTATCTTGTTCTATTTAATCTGAACAAGAACCTAAAGAAAATCTCAGTTTTTAAACCCTTACGAACTATAACTACAGCCCCGCCCTTGCAGCAGTATATTAATGACTAACCTCATATTGTGGATGGATTATCTCAGTCGTTCTCCTCACTGAAGTTTGGTCCCTTTTACAGCATCCTGCCATGTGATTGCATTTGTCCCTAACCATCGGGAACCCTCACGTTAACTTTTATCGAGTGGAAAAATTAGCTTTCATCCTCCAGCTTCACTGTGCTGATGTGTTTATGTCATGCTAACATAGCTGTGTAGTTAGCCACCACGTAGCACATCATTATATACCAGCTAGCCCAACTTCAGAAACCCTACAAATGTCACTGCTGTTTAGTTTTCTGTCTTCATTTATGTCAGAAGTGATAGCAGAGCTGTACGTTTTAATTGATCAGAAATCCCTCAGTCAGAACATGTTTCCATCTAAAGATTACATACCTAGCGAGCTAACTTCAAACATTGTTAAACTTCATAAATCCTGTTTTCATGGATGCCTGGATGTTAAACTTTATTGTTACACCTGGTAGAGCAGCAGCGCTGATCATTTTATTAAAGATGGAAGACAGTTTGTAACTCTCAGTGATGCCGCAGTGTTTGTTTGACTTTGGGACCTAAAGCGTAGTTTGGACCCGGAAACGGCTAATGATGTCAGACGTAAAGACCAGATAGGTGCTAAGAAATGCCAAAAGATGTGCCTTGCAGACAACAATGGGGGTGATCAGTTAAGGGGAGGGATATTCGAAAAGCACAAGACTGTGCACAAGTTTGCTCACATTGTTATTTTAACAACATTGTGTTAATTAAGAAGCAACCAAGTGGCAACCTCCAGGGCTGGATGATGCTGGCAGGTCTCATCACTGATAACTGGAGCTGATCACCACTGCACCATGTTTGCGGTTTTGATTGCTTTTAGAAGATTATTAAAATCAAGTGACCTGAGAAAAGTATGACCTACTGTGTGGTACACGCCAAATTGTGCTTCAGTTCTGTTGGTGAAATTCTAGTTTTTTATTAGTCTACACTCATTTCCAGCAGGTATCTGTGCCCCTCCAGTGCAGCTGGTCAGTGCAGCATGGTAATCAGACTGCTAAGACTAGCAGATAACTCAACCCTTGGACCAGATCTGATGGTTTCTGGCTCTAAAAGAACCTACGTGGCAGCCGTTGAAATGCTAATTGTGAGGTTTAACAAATGCTTCGTTTAGATGCCATAGGTGCGTCATGGCGAGGAGGAGCTACAGCCATCTGTTATCGTGTCTGTGGCAGCAACAAAATATACAAGTGTCAAAGAACGAGGGTTAGACGCTTCATCAGTACAAGTTTCGGATGAGCACGGCTCACTTTAATCACCTTCTACTAATACATGTCGCTAGATGACAACAGTTTGACAGTTGGTGTCACTGTAGCACACCTTCGCATATGTCCTCTTGAAATGACTGTATGTACAGAAATAATCACCTTTTTTGATAAACCAATTAGCGATTCAGTGGCATGCCTCGCCTTCCACCCATATTATACAGTCATTTGTCAGGAAATGTCAGAGTTTTAATAAACCTCTAAACAGCCCGTCACAACATGGCCTGCACCAGTGGCATTTTGCTGGGTCGTAATGAGAATTGTGCCTGTAAAGGTTAACCCAATCAAAATTAATGGTGAGGCCAGTCAATGGGGAAATGGTGTTTGTGATAAAACATAAGACTTGGGAGGGTTGCTGATCCACGTTGAGGCAATAGCAGTTTTGCGCAGAAGCATCTTTTGGAGGTTTTTTTTAATAACTGAGTTTTTGATTTCTCTCTGTAGCCGTACTGTTCACTACATCTCCATCTTCACGTGTCTGCAAATCCCTACACATCTGGAAACATAGCCAGCAGGGACTCGGCGCCGGGGATCATTGTCGCATCAGGTGGGTGAGAGGGAATATGTTTCGAGTGGCACGTCGTCTACATTCTCCGTGTCTTCTTGGACTTCTGAGGAGTTTTCTTTAAGACAAAGCTCATGTTTTTATCTGTCGTTAAATTATTTAATAAAAGAAGGACTTTTAGCCCTTGACTGAAAGGTTAAAACATCTAACCAGTGCTCACTGTTGTTGATTTGCCAGGGTTGTAGAAGGAAAGTCGAACAATATGTGCATTATTCAGTTAATAAAGTAAGGTATCCTATGGTTTGCTTAGATTTTAGTGTACAGCAAAGGTAACATGAAAGAGCCTCCAAACTGCAGAGACATTAGTGATTAAAAATGCTTCTCCTTTACTGTTTTTCTTCTTTCTTCTGTGTTAACTTTAAGATATCTGTCTGTTTCTCTTAGTTATTAATCATTTCTGTGCATTTTCCATGACTTGTTCTTCTTTGCAGTTGCACTGTAGTGTTTGTTGCATTTAGCATCGGTACATCACTCCCGCAAGCATGTGACATGCTGGCATCAGCTCACCTTAAAACGCAAACAGATAACTTGACAACAGAAAAACCCCTCAGAGCAGCATTGTTCCTGAGAACACGTGAAAAATAGGCAAGGACTCTAATTGATTCACTGTGAAGAAAAAAATAAGGTAATGTGACATCAGCAGCCCCCAGGTGGATGCACACCTGTGATATTTACTCCCGTGTGGACCGGCTCTGTCAATAACATGCAGGCACCGGCCTTGGGTGTCTGGAGAAGGCCAAGTTTACCCTACCAGCATGAATGCCATGACCTTTATGAACCACTGTGGGATAAGTCGGTTTCACTGATTTGGGAGTAAAACAATTAACTTATTTATTTCAGTCTATGTCATTATTTCAGCTACAGAATGGTGAAAATGAATGAGAATGATTACTTATTTCTTCTTCGTTTATTTCTTCTTTTCTGTCCCAGACCATCATTTGGAAGTTATTTTGGGAATAAAAATGTTGGAAAATAGTCCTAAAACAGTAAAACTTATTCAAAGTCCTGGGTTCTGAATGATTATCTCAGTTTTACATTTTTTCTGCCTTAGTAAAAAGGTGGCAGATGACATGGGAGACATTGCGGCATTGTGTAAAAATCCCATTTTACAGAGTTATGAGGAAAGGTTAGCTTTAAGGTAGGGTCATCAAGTCCATGAGCTGAAAGACACATTAAAAGCTAAAATGATCTATTGATACTGAGTCTATTCATACACTTGTGATTAATTAATGTTATGTTATGAACATTAGCCCATTCACAATGTGACATGGGATGGACTTTTAAACATTCCAATAGTTTTGTGGTCTTGTTCATCAGTGGGGGAAGAGAGGAGCGGGAGGTTGACAGATGGATTAGTACTGATGCGATCAATCACTGGTCCAGTCTCTGTGGTTAAAAGCATGAAGGCAAAGCTGTCGATTAATTGGTCAGCTCCTATCCTCGTGTTTGACCACAAGCTGTGGGTCATGACTGATTGAGGATAGTATCAACAGGACAGCTTCCTCTGTAGGGGGCCCAGACTCAACCATAAAGAGGGTGAAGAGCTCATACGGGAGGGGAGCAGGGGAAAGCCACTACCATAGGTTTAGGTCAGATTTTCTGTCTGGTAGGAAACTCCAAGGGCAGAACCAGGACATGCTGATGAGATTTTGACATGCTTGGGAATGTCTCTGAGCTGAAAGCTGGGATGAGACTGGATATTTCTGCTTAAATATCCAGTCTCATAAATATACTCTCTAAGTGTATGTATATACACTTAGACAGTATTATAGCAAAATAGCCTTTATAGTAGTGAGACCAAACACTGAGCTCACTGTAGGATAAGGGATCAACATTTAATGGGCCTTTATTTAGCTGAGATTGCTATTACAAGTTCATTTATTGGTCAGTAGCAGGAAACTGGACTATAATCCACATGGTCACTGTTGTTTGGAGTCCTGTAGAATTTGTAGGCAGTAGACTACAGTACTTTCGCAAGACTATGCTCATACTGTAAGTTGTGCAATGTGAGGGCTAGGAGATCTAGTAGATCTTTATTTTCTATGTCTGGGTTACAGTGCAGTTTGTGACACATTAAAACAGAACTGTTAGGTAGAAAAAATGAGACCTTTATAATAATAGCATCCCAAGATTTCATCTCAACTCTAAATTGTTCATTGCAGCATTTGTTGCTTGTTATTTGAAGTCAAAATGAAAGTAAATCTGTTATTTCGACCGCCCGTAGTGCCATACGGGACCCCAAACTGGAGACTTTATAACTTTCAAAGACAGGAAGCAGAACAGTGATGAAAGCAAACGTGTATTTTAGAATATTAATTGATTACCAACAACGTCTTTCAGACATCTGCTGAGTTCTCCCTAATCTTATGTTTTTAATTAAACCCAACCCTGAACCACTGTCAAGGTGGAAGACTCGAGGAAATCATTATCAATCAAGATGACATGAGGCTAGAGGAGATGCTAAACATTAGCACGTATACAATTATAGTTCTGTGAATTATAAGTGTATTACACTGTTAGTGCATGATACAGATGCACTGTATCCACAGCATACCTGTACATCACACCAGCATGGTGACAACATCAACTGGAGCTCAGCAGAAATCTAAACATTCAGCACTCGTGTAGCTCGTATGTTATGATGAGTGTGAAGCCTATTGTTTTTCAAGAGGCATTCAGAGTAGGGGACAACTGGAAAAACCGCCACCTGGCGCCAATTACGGGCTAAATTAAAGCAATTACAGCCGTCTGCACAGAATTAGGGAAGCTTGTCTTAATGTGGTCAGAACTGCTGAATGAGGGATACAGTAATCTGGATTTATTGGTTAATTTAGGGGTATGGGCAAATGTTGCACTGCACAATAGATCTTTCAGAGGACTGTAATTACAGCAAATGTCTGCAGCTGCAAGCTGGTGCCTCCTGCTGTAGAACCACCTCTTGTCTGAACACAATGTGTAAAAGTCGTGGTGTATTTTGTCAGAAATTAATTTCCTTTTTGTGCATCAAACTGTCTCTCCACCTCGAAGCCCTTGATCAAGTTTGTTTTCTATCCTTTCTGTGAACTGGCCTCACGTCCAGGCTCCATTGGGGCAGAACTGACCACCAGCAATGTCAGTGTGTTCATCACCTCGGACGCAGGAAACACGTGGAGACAGGTGAGGCAACTGTTTTTGGACTGTTGTGATGTCTCGCTGGTAAACTAATTCTGCATGTGTCACATTTGAGGAAAAAGTATCTAAGCTCTAACTCTTCACATGGCAACAGCTGACTGACATTTAACAGTTGGTACGAACCACACTGTCAACTTCTGCAGTCTCCTACTGACTGAGAACATTACTTTCTTTTCCAGCTGATCACAAGTGACCAGACTGTTAAACAGAACGAGTCCTCTCACGCTTTAGCTCCGTGTTTTAGTTTAACACCACTTTATATAAAGTTTAGAGATAGTTTGGTTGTATGGAATATTCAAGCTTTTAATCTTGTTATTCCATCATTGCAGACTAGAGGATAACCATCCCTCTGAAAAAAGGAGTAAAGGAGTTCATAAAAGTATTCATTAATTCATTAAAATTATTTTAAATGTTTTTCTATTAGCATATACTTTTATATAAAAGATGTATGAAAGTCGAGCCAACGTGTCCTTCACTAGTTTTGGAATCTCAGAGACACAAATATCTGATCATTAGTGTCAGGTAACAACAAAAAGAATATTCCAATGTTCACTTCTTGGATGCACTGCGCCATGTTATTTGTCAAGAACACAAACACAGTGGAGAGGCCCAGTTCAGTGACTTGAGTGTTGGGTACTTCTGCATTGGCTTTATTTCCCCCCCAGAGGTGGTTGCATGTCGGTGGATAAATACAGAAATATAGAGGACAGTTGCAGGCTGATCCACTTACCATACACTGTGTGTGTGGTTCACCAACCCACTGGAGAACTGACTGTTTGGTCTTTGTATTTTTCTCTTGGGTGATTTCTGGGAAGGTGAAAACAATGTGTAGGAAGGCAGCTCACAGTGTATATGAAAGTATTTCCAGAGCTGACTTTCATTCACTAACATGGATTTTAAGCTTGGCTTCAAAAAACGTCAAGGCAAAGTGAGCAGTTGGGACCTGAGCATTGAACGTTGTGTATCGCATTAGAACATCCGCCTGTCTTCCTCTGTTTGATTTCGCTTGTCTGTGGACTCCAGTTCCAGTAAACATGGCTGGCTGTCAGTCTGAAATGACCTGCAGCCCTGATCATAATCATCCATGTGGTTATCCACCATCCCATTTAGCTTCTGAGTTTCATTTTAAAAAAAGCCTCACACATGTAAACAAACCAATGTGCAGTGATGAGTATGAGGTGATTAGGTCAGATATTACCCCTCAGATGGAGATCCAGAATGCAATTAGCAAAATGACTGTTACAAAAATAATTTGGGATTTGTTTTATGGAAAAGTTAACATTGGTGGTGGAGAGTGCAAAGTTAGAGTAACTCTATAAGCACCATTAGTAAAATGAAAAATCAGAAACGACTGCATTCATCCACCAAGGCTGAACATTAATCCAACACTAAGCATGAATTGACTCCTGAGCTCATATTTTATACCCATACTGAACCCAAGAACATCAAGACAATGATGCAGATTATGAAGAAATGAAACAAAACAGTAAAAAGTCCTTTAAAAATGTCAAAATCTTGAAATTGACTTTAAAAGTTTATCAAAGAAATAATCAAATACCTCATCAGAAAAGGTAAGAGCCAGGAAAACCCCTTAAATTTTCATCCACATATAAATAAGACCAATTAAAAAATCAACATCATTGTTCAGAAACAAACTCATCCCCACGGCTTCTATTCGGGCGCCACAACGTTCTAATCAGATCAGTTGTTCTTGTTTCCAAGCACAAACAAATTTTAATTTAAGAGTCACAAAGTTTGCCAAGTCACTGCTATTGGCGAAGATCAACTTCCTGCAATTACACAATCATGCAGTGCAGCAAATATGTTATATTTATTAATATTACAGCCTCATGTCTGATAATTAATTTTTCCAACGATGTGCCCCGTTAAATCTTGAACAAACAGCCGCTCGCCATATGGAGCACAATGAACCGACTGACCTCCCGTCCTCTCGCTGAAAACATCCTCCTCCTCGCTCGTTGCCTATCCTCAAGTTTGGAATATAAGTCCTCAGACAACAGCCAGCTTTTTTTTTTAAGGTCACCAATCATATTACTTCTAAAGACCGGCTGAATTCATTGGCTGCATAAACCGCACATTAGACGGCCTCTACATCACTAGATTCACTTCAGTTTATGAGGCTTGTTTCTAATTAAACACAGCAATGAAAAATAATTATGTGGAAGGTAATGTAGCAAAGCAGGGCCATGATTTGCATGTATGAGTGTGTCTGTTGTGAAAAATGACAGGGTGGGTGTGTGCAAATGTGTATACAAGTAAGAGTACATCAAGCGTTTTTGTCCCAGCAGATTTTTGATGAGGAGTATGCAGTGCTGTATCTTGACCAAGGAGGGGCTTTGGTGGCAATAAGACACACTCCGCTTCCCATCCGACACCTGTGGTGAGTCATTATAACAGAGACACCATTTGTCACAGCATGACTAATTTTCTCTGAGGAAACTGCAAGTCCTAAGTTAGCCAAGTAAAGGAAAACGAGTTTGTCTTGGAACGAAGGGAGGGTACGACTCTGTTTAGAAAACCTTGGATGATTGTCATTCGGCTTTCTGGGTTTGAGACTGTAATGACTTTTGCTCTCACTGATCAGCGTTCTCCGAGCGGAGAACCTTCAGCCCTGCGTGGAATATAAAATAAAGTCGTTAGACAACTCTCAGGGTCATTAGTGTGCGCACACAGTTGAGGGATTAGCAGCGGCCCCTTGTGAAGCAGCTGTTTGTGTTCCCAGGTTGAGCTTCGACGAAGGACGGCAGTGGAACAAATACAGCTTCACCAACACGCCCTTGTTTGTGGACGGGGTGCTCGGAGAGCCCGGAGAGGAGACTCTCATCATGACGTGAGTAGAAAAAAAACAGAGGAACAGCAAATTGCTGGTGTCTTTAAATGCGCGCTCTCTCGCGTCGTGACCCGAGCCTGTGCCGATTCCATCTATAGCTCCGCTCTATTCAGGATTCCTGACTGTGTGTTTTCCTTTTCATGAATAAAAAGGTTTCTGTCAAGGTCTAGCCAACATCAAAACTAGCTGTCTGCTGATTATGATCACAGGAGATCAATGCTTCAGTGACAACCTGACTGCCCATTTGAAGAGCATAAAGAAGAGTGATCAAAAAATGCCTGAGAAAACAGACGAGAAACTTTATTTCTTTATAAAGTTTTAACTGCATTAGAAAGTGGAGAGAGGCGTGGGGATGATTTAGCGTGCCCTGAGAAATCAGATTTATGAAGATTCCTTCTGTGTTCTTTCAAATTTATTATTAGAACAGCCCAGAGCAGAAGTGCGTGCATATGCTATGACGCAGCACTGCTCCCTTATTGGAGCAGAGATTTAGGACTTTGGGACGTGTTACCACAGCCATTACATCAATGTTTCATGATACCTGCCATAAATGACAGACTGACAGCTGGATGTGGAGTCAGCCTTACAGGAGAGTGATAGGGCACAGCTGGAGAGAGAAAAAGGAAAATGCAGCTCTTTTTTTGGTGGGACTCGAGGGTGGGGAGCTAAAGGCGATGCTGGTAGAATAAGTTCTCGAATGCAGAGCCTCTGAGCTGGCAGACACACCATTAGTTTTCATAAGACCATCATGCACTGTTTTCTTATCAATTTGTACTCATTTTTACAGTAAGTGCCTGTCATGGCTGGGTGCCTCAGAAGCTAATTGACAGATTGATTGTGATAAATATGCTGTGGTATGAATGGTGAGGAGGGGTCAGTGCAAAGACACGCAGCCACTCAATTTAGCTAGAGATGGAATATTTATCCACTTAGTCTCATAACCTTGGATTGTGTTTTGTTCCTGACCAGTACATAAAAAAATATGGCTTTTCGTTCTGATTAAGTTAAACTTTAAAAGAAAGGTTTTTTAGTAACAGCATAACGCTGGAAATTATATACTGTGGATTTCGTTTTTAGATTGGGAACATTTCAAGTGTTAGTCACTGTTAACGAATCGCATGTAAAGACTAAAGCCTTCCAGCAGAACAATTTATTGCACAATATGTCTTATTTTCCATGTTTCATTTCAGTCTGTGCTGACACCATAAAATAAAACCAACAAACCCTTTATTGGATAGGGAAGCTGTGTGGAGGTGACAAAGTAAGTTGAGGTTGAACTTTCTGTTGGCTCTCTGTAGTCGCTGCACAACTATTTCTGTCACGTGTGCTTTGAATGAAAAGTTGGATGCCTTCTCGAGTCTAATGTGTTTTCCAATTTCCCAGCTCCCTACTAGAATCCAGCAACTGGTGGTCACTTGCTGCAAGACAGAGCCATGCAACAGCGACTCTTTTTGTTTTAACTTCCATGTCTCTGGCAGTATGTCTAGGGTTAGGGTTGTGAGTGTAGGCCGGGTTTGGGTTTGGTTAATGTGCTCTCCTTTACATAGATTTTTCACCTCTTTGCACTACTTACATCGAAACACTTTTAACAGAAAAACTGTACCTACCAAATGAATGAGAGTTCACTTGAAATCCAGCATTTAGTCCCTGAAATCTTTTTAGCATGTTGCGAAAGCCTAAGCCCTAAGCCTAGACAAATCACTGGTGACTGGATGGATTTCAAGAGTGACTTCAGTCATGCTATCAAGTGATCAAGTAAATAATAAGCAGTTATGCTTTACAAGATACCGAGCTGAATTCTGGCTCAAACCTCCTGTAGCCTCTCTTTCTGGTGCTCTGCTTTCCTTCCACAGTCCAAAGATATGCTCTCATCTGTGATGGATGAGGAGCCAGCCCAGGGTGTACCCTACGTTTCGCCCTACACCTGCAGGGATAGGCTCCAGCATCCCGATGATGCTTACTTGGATAAGTGGTTAACAAAGTGGATCATTGGATGGATGAATAAGGTTTCAAAGAGGCAGACTGCTAGATTAGTAAATTAAAAATACAATGGAGGATAAAAAGTGCCTTTCTGTTACCTGTTGGTTCTTCCAATGATGGATCGCAGGCGGCAGATCTTGTGTGTTTTAAGTGAGGAGCCAAATGCACACAACGCAGGCGGGACTGATCTTAACAAAAGTGCAGATTTATTCGGACTAATGGCAAAACAGACAAAACAAAAGGCAAAGTCAGAGTTGAGATAAACTGAACTGGGAGAGCTAACCTAAACACTAAACTTGGACACAGGGAACGTGGATGGTGACACGAGGAACCTAGACATGGAGACCTGGAACATGATAAGAACAGACAACCCGGCAATGACCACATATTATAAACACACGAGGGTGACGAGGGAAGTGGAAATGCTGGGGAACACAGCTGGGACGAATAGACATAATGACACAGGAGGAAGGAAAACTGAACACAGAATGCAAGACTGTCAAAATAAAACAGGAAACAGACTAAGATGCAGACTAGATGCACGGCTCAACACTGGGACCGGGGAGAGAAACAGACTTAGAAATAGAGACAGGAGACCACACACAAAGACATGACGAGGACTTGGGGAATTAGAGAGTGAGAGACACAGAGAGGAGAGAGGGAGGGACGAGGGAGACATGGCAGGGTGGGGAACATGAGAGCAGAAAAGGGAGAAGAGACATAACAACAAGGCTAAGACCCAGAGATCCCAAGAGAGAGGGACACAAGGACACAAAGAGAACCTAATAGACAACTATAGACTTCAAAGACAAGAAAAACTCAAAACATAGAAAGAACTAAACTGAAGGCTAAACTGTAAACATTGAACTTAAACCCTCTTTATAATGTGAGAGTCACAAACACACTGTAATCTCAAAAGAGCCAGTGCCCTGACACAAACCTGTAAATCTTATATATCCATGCTTGCAGCAGTTTTCTTGCACGGATCATCTGTTGAAGCATTTGTCTCTTTCACTCACAGTCTTTATCAGCTGTTTAGTATTTCACTTTTAAAGGCTCTCTGTAATTTCCTAAAACAGCTGTCCACTGCTGGTAGTATCAAATGCTAGCTAATGAAGTTGTTTATTTCTGGTTGCATTTTCAGTTTGATGCTCTGAAGTGTATTTGGGGCATCCGAAAGCTGAACGCGCAGGATCAGCGTTAATAGACCTCCGTGCTTCCTTTCACGATAACGATGGCTCACGACATTCAGCGCAACAATGAGCCTCACAGATCATGTGTGGTCAAAAAAAACATCAGCTCTGTGGCCTAGATGATAAGATTCATCAGACAGTGCTTATTAGCAGGATGAATTCACTCCCGGCTTTGATCTTCGTGTGGGATTTGCTCACCAGACTTTTCCTTTAACATCGTTTTAGTTCGATCATTATCCAAATCGTGTTTTGCATTTAACGAGTGCAGCGTGTGTGTCTGCTTTCTTTTTTCAGGATATTTGGACATGTCAGTCATCGATCGGAGTGGCAACTGGTGAAAATAGACTTCAGGTCCATTTTCAACAGGAGGTGTATAGAGGCAGATTATCAGACATGGCACCTGCACAACCAGGTACAGCATTTAATCAGATCAGGATAGAGTTTTGATTCTTTTTACACCCTGTACAAAATGTTTTAGAGCCTTTAATTATATTTCAAAACTATTTTTAATTAAATAACATTTCAAAGAGGCAGACTATTAAAATGATTTTTAATTTAAAAAGTATACTAATGAGCTGCTTCAGTAAAACACATCATTATGAAACCAGGTCTAAGTACCCTAGCTATACTAACCCCAAGTGCAATGTTTAGCAGAAAAACTAAATAACTTTGAATTATAGACAGTTTCCCCTTTGGCTGCATGTCTTGAAAAGCCAAAATTCCAATATTCTGAAATGTTAGGGTTAGAGCTTTCAAATTAGGATTAGGAATCATGGAATAAAATGGTAGTAAGTAAAAGGCAGGACTTAAAGGAATTAAACTTGTTACTTAATGAACTATTATTTCCTAATGAGAAGTAAATTCATTGAAGGAATTCTGAAGTCTGTGGAGACCATCTCCTCCAAACACAAGTTCTTAAGTTTGGTTGATTCAGAGCCCCTCGCTGTACGCTTTCAGCTTTGCTGTGTTGTGAAGCTGGAGACCTCCCAGCGCAGAGTCCTTATGATTCCTCCCTCATGCTTTAAGTGAACCTCCCAGCATACGTTAAACCTGCTCCGAAAGCTCCTCAGCCTGGTCGGGCCTGAAGCAGAGCCAGACGTTTAAAGCTTGCCTTTATTCATGGCCCACTTCTGTAATTGGTTTAGACACCCATATGCTCAAAGCAGGCTAATGATCAAAACATATAGCATGGAAGATGACAAGAGTCCAAGCCAATTACAGGGCTAAACTGCCCAAATGTAGTGTGGGTATAAAAAATAAACACCACCTGAAAACAGAGGTTTTGTGTTTAAGTTAGGGAAGGAGCTGGCAGTTGTATTTGTGGATGCTGGCAAGAATGTTTTTAGCCATCTCACTAGTGACACCTAATGCACAAAGACAGAATGTTGTAATAAAAAGAGAGCAGCAGTGTAGGATGAAGGATGCAGTGGAAACAGGCTGCTGATATCTTCACATCTTTTTGTACTCGACTGATTTTATATTCACTTCCCACACATAGACACGTGGCTAAAAATGGATTAGGTTCTGGCAGCGTTTGCAGCTGAAACTCCTTCACAGTCGTTCATCTCAATATCACAAAAAAATCCCTTAAAAAAGAACTCAAGCAGCACATTCGACAGTGTGACTCTTGCAACGGAGGAACAGTTGCTGAGCTGAGCACGCCACACGCCACGAGCCCGTAAATATTCGCTGAACAAGAACGGTGTTCTTTGCACACATGGCTGATTGTATCCTGTAAGTTATTTATTGTGGATACGGAGTTACAAAATCACTTCAGTTTCAAACTCTGTTTCTTTCCGCTTGGCTTTGTTTTTGGACCCTGCAGGGTGAGCCGTGTCTGATGGGAGTCAAAAGAATCTACCGAAAGCTGAAGCCCACATCCAGGTGCGTTATGGGAAAGACATACTCAGTGACCATGACATCGGCACCATGCGACTGCACAGAGGCTGACTTTGAATGGTCAGTATTTAATTTTCATTCAGTCCACTTTGTATGTGCTAACACTTTACAATCCCCACTTTTAAACTGTGCATTAATAATTCATCAGATTTGAATAAGTATAATCTGGGACTACTGGGCTCTGGTGGCAGAACTGTGCCTGGGTCTCTGCCTCAGTTGGTGGTGGTGGGGGACTGGGGTTGGTGCTCTCCAATGGTCTTGGGGTGTGGGGCGCTTGTGGTGGCGGGTTGGCCTCTTCTGGGTGGGTCCGGCTACAGGGCCTGGGGCCCTGGTTCCCGGGGTCTCTGGCTAAGACCCTTCTTGCGTGGGGTTGGTCTGCGCCCCCTTGGGTGGGGTGGGCTTTCTCAGGTGAGGAAGCATACATTGCTGAGTGCAGCTTGTCCCAGACCCAGACCAGGGTGTCTTGTCCTTTTCCTGTGTGTGTCCCAAGACTCATCTGAACACTCCGGTCTACTGTCTTGGGTGGAGGCCCCGTACTGGGTGGTGTCATTGCAGACCCCCCCCCCCCCCCCTCGTGGCTGGGTGTGGGGGATGGGGGTGCCTACTGAGCCAGTTATTTCCTGGCTCTCTCCTTACACACCCACACCCACTCTCCCTCATACAGCACATGCACACGTAGGGTCACAGTGGGTAGAGCCATTCACGTGGCTGTGCCGGTGCTACCTGTGAGTTTTTGAGTGTTTGTGTTCCAGGTGTTGTATGTTTGTTCTCTTACAGGTGCGGTAGTTGGCGATACATTGTGTATTTCTTTTTGTACTCTGTTCTTTTATTATGTCTTCCCCAATCCTCGATTATTCTCTCCCTGTCCTGCCTTAGACATTGTCATACTGTATACCACATATAATAGAATAACTGAAATAACAGGAATATAAATGAAGATGTAAACAGAAACACCCTAAACAAGAGGAGCCTGTAGAGAATTTATAGAGCTGCTCTTGGAAAAGCAAAATGTGTTTGGCACACAGTGCATTCAGATCATAATTCTGATTGTAAAAGCTGCCAGAGAGGTCAGGACTTGAACAAGAAAAAGAAAAACACAGCTGGAGTAAACACTCGACATCGTCAGAGTGTTTGGATTCTCTGTGTTTTTGCTGGGTTTTTTGTTTTTGCTAAGAAGTCTGACTCCTGTGAGCCCTTTTCGGTGTGTGTGTGTGTGTGTGTGTGTGTGTGTGTGTGTGTGTGTGTGTGTGTGTGTGAGTGCACTAGAAAGCCTGCAATATTAAACCAAAGTTGCTGGAACTCTTAACACTTTACCATCCACTTTGTTATTGCCTTTGACCTTGAACAATCCT